AATTTAAATTTCTTTAGTTTTTTTTAATGAGAGCGCTCGAGGTCCACCGAGCAAAAAATTAAATTAGTGTGTCCTTATTAAATGTTTGTAGAATTTTCGTAAAGTGGTGTATTAAATTTTTTTAAATGTACTATTTCATTTCGTCATATTTTATTAAAAAATGAATTAATTTTATTACAGGTATAGAAATGGATCAGCATTTGAAGGAATTTCAAACGCATACAATGATGTAAATTTTGGGGAAGACTGGTCAGTATATAGCAAGGTTAGAGTAATGGACAGAAGGCGATTGTCTGAGGCGTGGTTTAAATGGCATTTGATAGAAATGAAAATCGGTTTGGGGGAGAGAAACATCGATACGTTGGTGTGTTCTGAAGTCGATGCTGAAATACAAAGGATTCTGCCAAGGATACATGAACACTTTACAAAGAAATGGTCTGATAGTCATCATTGTGACAACTGCAAGTCAAAAGGTGTGTAAGTTTAGTAAATATTTAAGCTCGGTATATATTACGTAATTTTTTTTGAAGATGGTTTTTTTTGGAACAACTTCATCGGTCCCCAAGAAAACTCGCTAAAATTTATTGTCGGCGAGGGCGAATTGAGTATGTTTATGAAATAAGAAATATTTAAAGGATAATGATCTTTCGAAAACTGTAGAAGCAAATTTTTTTTTCTAAAATAAGAGGTCATGAACCCTAAGCATTCATACAGTTTGCAGGGCTATGATCTGTAGTCCCTCCGCAAATAATTTTCTAATCCTCAACAGTCGAATAATGTAAGAGGACTAACCCTTATCTCATAAGTGGGTGCAAGACTAACCCTAATCAGTCAAATAACTGTGCGAGGACTAACCCTAATCTCCTAGTTGGGTGCAAGACTAACCCTAATCGGTCAAATAACTGTGCGAAGAATAACTCTGATCTCATAGGTGGCTAGGACTAACCCTAATCTCATAGGTGGCTGCAAGCCTAACCCTAATCAGTCGAATAATTGTATAAGGACTAACCCTAATTTATTAATGTGTGCACGACTAAGCTTAATCAGTAGAATACTTGTGCAAAGACTAGCCCTCATCAGTTTAATGACCTAAATGCTGTTTTGTAGTCCTATGAACGCGAGTATCTTGTTGATTTGGGGGCTGTTAAAGTCTACCTCCGTTGACCGATACAATTTGGGTTAATTCTTATCACCTTAAATATATTTGAATATCTTTAATTATTGAATAAATGTACTCATTTCATTGAAACAGCAAGCAATATATACCCTAAATGTGCTCATCTATCATGGAGTTAGTACCTAAAAAATTATATTCTATGATATAAGTGAATGTAAATTAATTGAAATGTGAGAAACATTTTTAAGTATACCCTATTGAATCTAAAATATTGTATTTTTATTTTAATTAACATTGTGTAAGGTGAGGTTTCGAATACAAATGGTTCGCCTTTAGACGTTTCGTGAGCAAAAACATTGTATAAATTTTATATATATTTAAGATACATGATTTTTCTTTCAGATTGTAGTCAAGCACTTATCATAGATGGTCATATGAAAGGCACCAGACTAGTTTGCGACTTTATGGTAGGCGACATTTGTTGTGAGGAAAGTGGAAGCATTACTGTTGGTTGTAATCAGACGCCTGTCAAAGGTTCCTACTTCTGTGTAAATCACCAGCATTCTCTTATGAAGGTTAATAAGGTAAAGTTTAAATATCACTGATTTTTTTTCATTGTGAAATAATACTGTATTTTAAGAATATTAATCAGGAAATAGATGAATTATTCCATTTTCTTTCTCCTGTAATCTCTCTGTTTTCTCTTGTCAATCCATTTTTACCCATCCCACAACAAATCTTTCTCTCAAAATAAATGTTTTCAAACTACGATACAATTGATCTTTAAAAGAAATATATATATGTCAATATCGGTAAACAAGAATACGAAAGAATCTAGTTGGGAAATAATTTTTTTATTGACATTTAGATTGAAACCCAACCTGATACAGATGAGAATCAACATTCACTGCAGTGTAAAACAGAGAAAAGGAAACAGGCAGCTAACAAACACCGGTCGGCCGGAATATGCTGTGCGGTGTACAACTGTGGGGTAGTTGTGGGTATTACCGAGCTATTTGGTTGCGAATCACTTTCGCAAGTATATGTATTCCTCACTTGGCTTTGGCATGCTGTGCAGCATTTTCCACGATTATTTGCCTATGATGATGCCTGCCATTTAAAGCGCTATGTCAACAGTCGACAAAAAACAGCGGCCGGAAAGTTCATTGCAAATCTTCCAATGGTGGTGGATAAAATGCACTTTAAAAACCATGTTGACAAATGGTGCAAACAAAATGTAAATCCACACAAAGTTAAAGAATTTTGTGACTTAAACACAGAAGCATGTGAACAGACATTTAAGTTTGTTTCCAAATTGAAACATGCAACGAAACATATGACGTATGCAAGCTACAATTTGTTTCATTTGATTATGTGCAACATGTACAATGAAGACAAAATTATAAAGAGTACAAAGAGAATTAAACTTCAAAGCCACTAGAAGATAAGTAGGAAATCATGTAAACAAATGATTAGAAGATATGTTAATTGTACATGCTTATTATTTGAGGAACAGATTATATATTTATAGATCAATATATGATTAATATTTTTAATAAACAAATAAATTTTAAGATAATTTCATACAGTTTTTGGAATATTTAATAATGATTCTATTATTCATCAATTCTTTGTCATCGATGTCCTATCGACGTCATAATTATGACAGCGTCGGCTTACATAAAAGGCTTATGTTTTGATTAAGGTCGATATCGACATTCAATTTTCGATATCGTCGATATCGACATCACATTAGAGTCAATCATAGTTTTGTCGATAGCGACATCACATTAGAGTCAATTATAGTTTTCGTCGATATCGACGTCGATATCGACATTCAATTTTCGATATCGTCGATATCGACATCGCATATGAATCAATTAAAGTTTTTGACGATATCGACGACGATATCGACACCACGCTGCCGATATCGTCGATATCGACATCAGATTAGGTCTTGGACATGTATGAACTGTTGATAATCGGATCCACCGATTATACATGATATAAATACTCGTACATTATACTCTAAAACAAAACCTTGATTTGTAGATGCGAGGGAGTATAGAATAGTCATTACCACCATCATCATTCACTTCTAATAACATCATCAGTAAGTCATTATTCACATCCTCATTAATAAAAAAAGTGTTTATAATTTCACTCTTATAAATACTTTTATTACATGTATATAGTGTAAATGAAAATGACTCTGATTCTGTTGCTTCAGTGTCAAGCTAGACTGATTTGATCATAAACATTTTTCGCATTCTATTGGATCAACCACCACCTTGGATAGGACTGTGAACAACCTCAACCAGGCTTTAATTTCCATTATAAATGGGTGGTAGTTTGCCGGGACAGCCTCCAACCCTTTGCTTGCGAAGATGTAGGAAGAAGAATAACCCATATTGAAGTGGAATAATTCTGTGCGGTTGGGATAGATGCTAGAAAAGCTTAATATGAAGTGGGAAGTGACAGTGAATAGAAACCATTCTGTTAACTGAGGGTACAGTAGAATGTCGAGATTGGAGGTCACAATGGCCTGAGTAGAGGCAAAATAGGGCCCTACAAAAAAGACGGACGCGGGAGCTCTTAGAAGCAAGCGTGATGGTTATGTTTGTATTCTAGCAAATTTTCTTTAACATGATGTATTTTTAAAATCTAACTTTGTCAAACATTTTAAATATTCAGTGTCTTTGTAGTTATTCCTTCCGATTGTAAGAACCGTTGTGCAGATGATCAGATCCGTGGAACATACGATATATACCCCTACAGAACATTAACGATACCAATCAGTGTGTACTGTGATATGACGACAATGGGCGGAGGACGGGCGCAATTTTGAAATCGAGTATAGGCCTGGTACACAGCATGGTAATGCTGACAGTCTATCAAGATGTCCGAACCCAGCCGATTGTAGCTGCTCAGGTGACAGTTTAGAAAGCCTGAAATGTGGACCTTGTATTAAGTGCAGAAGGATATGGAAATAACGAACAGTATTCAATCTCATCGTCCATTAAACAAATATATAAAATAAGAGCAGAGCAAACACGGACCTCCGAAACATCAGAGGTGGGATCAGGTGCCATGGAGGAGTGAGCATCCCCAGCCGACCGGTCACACCCGCCGTGTGCTCGTTGTCATAATCAGGAAATAACGGAAAAAATCCGTGGTCAATTCAGTGTATAAATAATGGACTAACAATTGGTATGAAAAACGTCAGTCAGCATTTCATTCAATGATAAATTGTATTGAGAGCTGAGACTATGGAAACTCAGGAAAACCTTAATCAGGGGGGTGCTATTCGTGTAATGACAAGAAAGCGTGACAGCTCTAAAAATTTACCTGAAGGGACACAATGGATGTCAAAATACAAGTCATCAAGTTTACAATGTCTTCAGATGGAAGATAATGGTATTGGTCCAGTGCTTAAGTGGAAACTGGCAGGAAGTAAACCAGTGTTCAAATATTCTCCAGCAATCAGACATTATGTTTGTTTATGGGATCAACTATGCTTCAAAGAAGGTGTTTTATATAAGGAATGTACAACCACAATGGGTCTTACAATGACACGGTTTATTGTTTAAGAGAAACTTAAATTAGGGATTTTACAACTCTGCCATTGTTCTTTGTGGGCCGGACATTTGGGCATTAAGAAGACCAAACACAGGATTACACAACAGTTCTACTGGTACGAAATGAAAGACTCAGTTAAAACATTCATTCAGTCTTGTGAGTCCTGTGAAGCTAACAAAACACCAAACAAGAATCCTAAAGCCTAGTTAGGAAGCTGTCCCGTGGGCGCACCTTGGGAGCGACTGGGTGTTGATTTCCTTGGTCCGCTGCCAGTAACAAAACAAGGAAACCGCTACATTACATTATGGTATGCAGAGATTATTTCTTCAAGTGGGTCGAAGCTTTTCCAGTGCCTGACCAGACTGCTCGTGCTACTGCAAAAGTTCTACTAGAGATAGTTTCACGTTTTGGTTGTCCATTATCTTTACACTCAGACCAAGGCAGAAATTTTGAATCTAATATAATAGCTGAAATGTGTAGCTTCCTTCAAATAAAGAAAACCAGAACAACGCCTAGAAATCCTAAAGGTAATGGCCTGGTTGAAAGATTCAACCGAACCCTTATCCAGATGATTCGTGCTTATATTATCATGGATGATGAATGGGATATTTACCTTAGTTGTGTTACTGCTGCTTATCGTTCTACCCCTCAGGAGTCTACGGGGTTGACGCCAAACATGCTGATTTTTGGACAGGGGGTCCGCCTTTCCTGTGAGGTCGTTTACAGGCCTGAAACATTAACAAAAGAATTAACCTCATCCTATGGTAACTATGTTGAGGAAATAAGAAGTCAACTTAATAAAGCACATGAAATATGTCGCAAATCTTTGGGACGAGCATCTGAACGCCAGAAAAACTTCTACGACTCTAAGGAACAGTTATTCAGTTGGTGACATAGTATGGAAACTAAACGAGAACATATATGTTGGAGAATGTGCCAAACTACAACCTGTCTACATAGGAACATGTGTTGTGGTCAAAGTCCACAGTGACCTTGTCTTTGAGATACAACTTGATGCCCGTGGTCAGCGAAAAGTTGTAAATCACAATAAATTACTGCCGTATCGTGGAAGTCAGCCACCGAAGTGGGTCCAGAACATTGTACAAAAATTAAGGAAAATTTAGTTAGGTGCCAGTTGGACTAGCGCAGTATTGTGATTTTCTTATGTATACATGTTATGATGTTTTCATTTCCTTAATAAAAAGAGTTTACCTGATTAAAGGATCAAATGAATTACTTGTATTGTGAACAAGTCTCAACCTATGTATAGGAGGGGGATCCTGATTTATTAGGCAGAGATGATATTTGAAAATTTACTTTAGGATGTACCAATATTTGTTGTTGGTTGTGATTTACCAACCATGTTGTTGGTTTATATAATACATATTTACCAGTAATATGATATTGGTTCTTACATTTAAGATGTCTTCCTTAAGATTGTCGTCTGCCGGGAAGAGGGGGCATGTCTATTAGTGTAAGCCATGTGGGTTTCGTGGTGAGAAGCTGGATGTGACAAACCATATCTATGTAAAACATCTTAGATATGAGGACTATCCATATCATTGTTCACTGTGTGATTTTTCCGCAGTCCAGAAAGCAAAATTTCTGAAGCACAGCAAGTGGTACCTTCAACATAAGCTGAGGACAGGAGAGACGGCCGACGCTGGGGGGTCAGGCTTCATGACAGTGAGAGACAATTCGAAGGAGATGCTGCAACCCTTGACAGTAGAGGAATCGATCTCACATTGGGAATCGAAGAAGAGGCCAGCCAAGAGTCTTCCTACTTCCACATCCTCCGTGCCATCTTCGTCGCTCTCATCCTCTGGCTCCCTGTCCTCCTTTCCACCACTGTCGTTGCCATCTTCGATGCTTCCATCTTTTCCACCACAGTCGCTGACGTCCTCCAGCTCATTGACAACCTTGCCACCGCTGTTGCTGACGTCCTCCAGCTCATTGCCATCCTTTCCGTCGCAGTCGCTGCTTTCAACCTTGACACAGGTGTCGCTGCCATCCTCTGGTTCCTCGTTACCACCTCCTCCATCACCTGTCACAGCTACTCTGCCATTCGCTCCAGAATCTTCCCTGCCAGAGCTGCTGACCGAGGAGGATCAGCAGCTGATTAAAGAGTTTTTTTATACAGGAGCCCGTCGAGCCTGAGATTTCCCTGCGGGAGGAGAATGCCCGCCTCCAGAAAGAGATTGACCGGCAGAAGCGTGTCATCCAGAAGAATCAGGTCACCATATCAGACCTGGAGAAGAGGTTGGATTCTGGAGTTGGTTCTCAATCGAATGTGAAGTTCATTCATGATGGCCCCGGCGAGGGTGAGCGCTACAATCCAGTTCCCCGCAGAAGGTCCCCGAGGAAACAACCTAAGAGGTTGCAGTTTGTGGTAACCATTTCAAGAATAATCCTTCCAAAGCCAGCACACAGAGCTACAGAGCACCAGTCGCCATTAGATGATCTTTTCTGGCCAGATCGTAGATTCAGTAGACCTTATAAGAGACATTAGATTGATATCATTATTTATAAGAGCAGTAAGTGTAAGTAAGTCAAAGTAATGTAAGTTAGGGAAATATTTATCTTAATATTTGTAATTAATTGGGAGATGAAGGATATGGAAATAACGAACAGTATTCAATCTCAACGTCCATTAAACAAATATACAAAATAAGAGCAGAGCAAACACGGACCTCCGAAACATCAGAGGTGGGATCAGGTGCCATGGAGGAGTGAGCATCCCCTGCCGACCGGTCACACCCGCCGTGTGCTCGCTGTCATAATCAGGAAATAACGGGAAAAAATCCGTGGTCAATTCAGTGTATAAATAATGGTATGAAAAACTTCAGTCAGCATTTCATTCAATGATAAATCGTATTTGCTGACAAGTTCATTGTATCGACCATATAATTTACGAAAGCACTGTCCCTTAATATATTTTGTAGTTCAGGAACTCAGTTGTAATGCCATATATAACTTGCTTATAATTTCTTGGTGTAAAGGAGATATTTTTTCAATTGGTTTAAAATTAACAATATATTTTATGTTCAGTGTTGCTGTAAAGATTTTAATCTTTTCAAAATCGCTTGAAGTATCATGATTACTTTCAAATTAGTTTATCCTATAATTTTATTTACTTAAATTGTTGGGGAAGAATTAGGATCGGAGTGATGAACCCTCCTGCTCGAGGTTGGATCGGGTGCCATGGAGGAGTGAACATCCCCTGCCGACCATTCAATCTCAAAGTCCATTAAACAATATAAAAAAACAGCAGAGCAAACACGGACCTTCGAAACATCAGAGGTGGGATCAGGTCCCATAGAGGAGTGAGCATCCCCTGCCGACCGGTCACACCCGCCGTGTGCTTGTTGTCATAGTCAGGATATAACGGAAATATTCCGTCGTCAATTCAGTATATAAATAATGGACTAACAATTCGTATGAAAAACGTCAGTCAGCATTTGACTCAATGATAAATTGTATTTGTTGACATAGTCATTGTGTCGACCATAGAACTTACGAAATGATGACTTTAAACGAGACTACTGATATTCTTGTTTAGGAACTAAAGGACACAAAAAAAAACCTACGGAGGAAGTAAGTATGTTATTTAAGAATTACTGAACAACATTATTCAAGAGGAAGAATGCTGTCCAAATAGTTAAAATTAAGAGACATGCATATCATACAGCAATGTCTGTTGATATCTTTTGTAGTTTAGGAACTCAATTGTGATGCCATATATAACTTTCTTCTACGTTCTTGGTGTAAGGGAGATAATTCTAAACATATGATTTGCCCAATATAAACATTCAATATTTTTTATGTTTCTTTTTGCTGTTTAAGTACTTCTTGTCCTTTTGAGTGTTACAAATTATGTTGGTATCTGTAATACCCCAATAGGACCATGATTGGAAAATAAAATTTATTCCATTCTATTCTGTAATAGATATTTAAATCTGATACCTAGTTATGCTTGTCACAGTCAAAGGAGGACTATCCTTTGGGTTACTTTCTTCTGATCCTGTTAACAACATAGAAGATGGTGAATAACATAAGCTTGATGAGCCTTTAGATTAGAACAGCTAAAAAGAATCTACAAAGCTCATAACCATCAGAGAAATCACTTTTTATAATATGTTACCTTGAATACATTGTGTGTTTCGTATTGATTGATTATGTGTTATTCAACGTCCCTCTTGAGAATGTTTCTCTCATATGGAGAGGCCACCACTTGCCGGTGGAGAGCTGCATGGAAGGATCTTTCTCGTACCAGCACTTACTGCGACACGGGACCTCGGTTTACACGGTTTCATCCGAAGGACCGGTCTGCACGTCCCACAATGGGATTCGAACCAGCGACGTAAGGATTCCCGTCCTAAAAGATTTATAAAGAAGAGAAATCCCTCTCTTAACCTAGTGTAAGCATTCCTCCAAATCCTTCTTGAGGAATATTAAAAGACTGATGTAGTCCCTATGACGTAAGTTTGGAGTCGAAATGTAAAAGGAGTGAAGGAATGAAGGCAAGGGGGAGGGGACTCTCCCTCTCCTCGGAGGAGGCCTTCCTTCGTTTTCTGCTCGGGGGGGGGGGGGGGGGGGGGGGGTTCAGGCCGACATTAACTTTGATCTGTAGGGACTTGGGGACAAAGCTAAGAATTTTCGGTGGAAATAAGTGCTAGTAAGAAACATGCATTATAAATATTTCATGAATACTAATAATTCAGGCTACAACAAAAGAACCCTCCCCTGTCTGCTGAGAAAGCCTTCCCCCGGCTTCAGATTGAGATACAGGTGTGGTCTCTCCAAACTTGGGTATTTAGGAACTGGGTGATATAAAGCAACTGTGGAGGATGTAAGTATGTTGTTTGATTTTATATTAATTTATCAATATGAAATATATTCAAAGCAGGGCATTTTTATCTACACGGCGGATGTGACCGGTCAGCAGGGGATACATAATTTTTTACCATAATTTTTTTTCAAAACCCATTTTTTTCAGAATGTTTATGTAATATACATTTTTGTATCCTCATTTTGAATGATATCTAGATACCATGACTGAAAATGTAAATTTAGAAACATGACACAGATCTGCCAACACTGTTCTTTATTTTAGAGCTGGTTCCCTTAACATCTAATTTGTATGAATTCATAAACTGCTCAACTTTTTCCGTTAATTATCTAATTTACCGTATTGGAAACAAATTATCATAAAACATTGGTGTGGATTTGTTTTTAATATATGACTGCCGTCATGAGAAAAGGGCCCTTAAGGTCAAATTTTCACAAATTGACTTTTTGGTAAATTTTAATAGCCGGACTCTTTCTGAATGCAAATATACATAAATTTTGAAAATATCTCACTTTTTCGGTATTTTATGAGCATTTTAGTGAGGCGCTCCAAAAATAACTTTGACGTTACTCACGTAACGTAATGACGTCGCCTGCGTCTAATTTAATTTTCAATAAATCTTAAAATTACATGTTATTTGAATAACTTCAATCGTTTTCAGAATTAAAAACATGAGAAAGTATTTAATTTTTTTCTTCCAAGCGACTAGTATGTACCTATTCTAAAGGGATTTCATATGTTATTGCTATTTTCATGCTAATTTCAGAGCAGATCAAGTTGTGCCGTTAAACAAACTGAAGTTCTGCTTGACAAAGTTGTTTATTGCTCCTCCAGTGAGGGTGAAAACTGTAAAATTACAATCAAAGAGTTACCAAGAGAAAACTGTCAATATTACATAATAATCCAATCCATAATTCATACTATGCCAAATATAGAAAAATTGGGACAAGGAAGGTTTTTAGGCTTAAACAATTAATGACAGGTAAATATTCTATAGATTCATAATTACTGTTTTATCTCAACAGAATAAAATGTTATTAAAT